CCATTCTACGTTCACACTGGATGCAGCAAGAGCAGCAAAATCGCGTCTGCTGCTTCATTTTTGCTGCTTGTACCGGTTAGTTCTGACGCGCGGCTGAAGCAGCTTTGCTGCTCTGGCTGCGTGGTGCAAAAGTGGGTGTGACGCGCGTTGGGCGGAGCTTCACTATCCTTTCTTTGCCTTGGAGCTATATTTGCTGTGATCAGTGGGAATAAAGTAGTTTTAATATGTTTTTAAGTGGGAAAATCTACCTGAAAACTTAATCAATGCAGTCAGTTCATCTAGATTACAATCCTGCCTTCCAATATTATTTCTCTGTCGGAGCCGCTCAGACCCCCACATATCAGCGGTGCACTGTCAGTAGGATCCCATTCCACAGCAGCCTCTGGCCCGGTCGCCTCCTCACGGTGCAGCAGCTGGTAAGTTTTTTTATCTAAATAATCCAAACTGCAGGCACCAGGATGATAAGAGCTAACATATTCTGCCGGCAGATTTCTGCATTTTAAGTTAATTTATGCATCAATAAACTGTTTCAGAGGAGTGATCATAGCGCTCTGTATCATCAGCGATGCGTCTGCCTCGCTGCCAGCTCCCAGATCAGCTTCTCTGATTGGTTGAGTGGCGCGTCAAGCAGCAAAAGTTCAATTTTTCCATCTCCAGCAGCAGCGCGCGCATCAGATGCTTTATGCTGCGTTCACACCGGACGCAGCTGGCGCGACAGAAGCAGCGAGTTTACATGCAAAGTCAATGGTTGACGCGCGTCAAGGCGCAGCAAAAGGTCCCGCGGCGCGTTTTGAGCAGCAGGCGCAGCGCGTCTGAGCAGCTGAAGCAGCGCGTCGGGCGCGTTTAAGCATCTGACGCTCGTGACGCGCCACAAACGCGTTGCTGCTCGAGATGGAAAATTTTAATTTTTGCTGCTCGACGCTAGCCTGACGTAGTCCGACTCAATTCTAGTCAGAATATGAGTCTGATACTGCTCCATAGAGCTGTGATTATGGGGCGTGTTTTGAACGAACCAGGAAAAAAAATGCCTCTGCACTCAATTGGATAGACGTACAACCAATAAGAGCAACGGAGTGCGTGACGTATGTTAAGCGAGGCATAGTTGTTGTCCACAAAAATCAAAGCGTGCAGTTGCGCGCCTATAATAAGAAGATGAGACTTGATCGCGTTTCTCTGTTCCTCTTTTAAAATTAATTTGCTGTCGATATCTTCTATAACAGACCTAATAGCAGAATCTACTCACCTCAACTCTCCAGCGGCAGCCATTGTTGTTGTCACCCAAGCGTGCATTGGTCACGTGGTTGATTACGTTACTGTTGGTCATCTGTCCATCATCGTATAAAGCCCGCCCTGACAATTTGATTGGATCGCCTGCCAGTGGGCGATAATACTCGCGCTACTATGGAGCAGAGCCAGACCGAACTTCCCGACCTCGAACTTTGTGGGCGGGACTAAGTTCGGAATGGCACCCAGGCTAGCTCGACGCGCCACGTCAACCAATCAGATAAGCTGATCTGGGAGCTGGCTGGGAGAGAGACACAGCGCTGATGACACAGACCGCTCTGATCACTCCTCTGAAACAGTTTATTAACGCATAATCAGGGGCGGATCCAGGATTTTTCAAAGGGGGGTGCGCAACTAAGGGTCACAGGTCAAGACAATGTGAGGCTAAAAGACCAAAGAATACCATCTTCACTCTTTCACACTACCCTAATTATTCATCCAAGGGTTTTTAATTGATAATTTTAATGGATGAACATAAGTAGAATTAGCATGATTACATTATTGTAATTAAAAAAGGATTTCTCGGTTTTTAAAGCATGCACAAGGTTAAAAGGTAGTTTGAAGAAAAAAATGATCCTTATCAACAATTAATCAAACAAGGAGTTTCTTTATTTCCAGAAATGATATTTACACAGAACATGAAATAAAAAAAAACCAAGGACTCAAGGAGGTTCAAGTATGGTTCAAGTAAGACAAAGGAGTTTTGAATATATTTTAACAAGATAAACTGTTGAAAAAAAAAACAAAAAAAACAAAGTTAAACCAGACAAAGAATATTGTTCTCTGCTACAAACTTTATGATGATGATAATTGGTTTACAAATGTCAACCTTCTGGGATGCTTCTGGGCAAATATGTCTATGATTTTGTTGATGTCTAACTGAATGTCCTTGTGCACATATAAAAGTAGCAAAGCCACAAACCTTTCCTGTCCCATTGTTGACCTCAGCAAAGTTTTCACTGCTTTAAGACCCGAATTAGCACGTTCCACAGAAGCACTGGTAACAGGTATGACTGACAGAAGGTGAAGAATCATATAAATGTTTGGGTAGCACTTCATATTTGTTATCTTTAGAATTTCAGGAAGAGAGTTGGGTTTTTCCACTGATGATGACTACTTTGTGTGCCACAACTTCACTTCCTGCCTGAATGTTGATCCTGACGGTAGATCATCTTTATATGATGTAAAAACGATAAAAAGTCATACTTGTCCAGCCAGTCCCTCTGGCATGTTCTTTTGGTCACCCCACTGGCTCTTTGGTTGTCTTTAAATTCTCTGGCAGGGAAATTGAAAGATTTGGGTGGTTTTCTGGTCTGAAGAAGCTGGAATTTTCCAGAGTCGTCCATTTCACTAATCCGGTCCTTGGCCTTTGATATATCTGTAATAAGATTGATATTTACATTGTCAATTTTGTATGGGTGCTGGTGGAGTTGTAAATCTGCCTACATGAAGGATTTGTATAGTTTTGCTTTATTATGAAATAATTATTATGAAATGTAAGATTTCAAGATTAAGCAAAAAAGTCAATCGTGTAAAACAAAAACAAAGTCAGTTGTTTTGACATAGAAAAAAATATAACTATTACTAACCTATGTCGTAAGTTGTTTGGGGCAAATCCACTTGGTTGAGCGCCGGCTCTTCAGTTGTCTTTACATTGAAACACGGTCCTTGTTGTTCATCTGGAAAAGAAAAAAAATTTTGTGATCAGGTGAACCTTGTAATGTCAGGAGGAGCCACAAAACAATTTAATGTTGTGTTTTTATCGTAAGTTATCAAATTCACTGAACACATATCACCAGGTGCACAAAACTGAATATACTTAAAAGTAAATTGCATTTTAATTGTAAAATAATAAATGCACTGAAAACAAATAACACCAGATTTGTAGTTATCATGTCACAATGTTAACAAGACTCCCTTAGACTCCAAGCATGTGCTTAGAGCATTCATTGATTTGGATCCTTACCAATTGATAAAAGTTAGTAATGTTTTCATAAAGGATACCATTCTTATTTTTAACAGTACAACACATGTGGTACAGGTTTAGACCCAAAAATACACACTACAAAATAACTATGCATGTCAATGGCAACTAATGTTGCTTATTTTTGTTAATTGTACACTCTTTTTATTAGTTATCAAACACTGCAATTTTCATAACTTTCCCGTTACTGGTTAAAGTATTCCCACGCAACTTTAAACAACTTGTTTATCGACAATCAACAATGTTGATAATGTTTTCTCATTATCAACATTTTCTAGCAATCATCATACCTTTTATCTGTGTGTCTCCAATATCTGAACGTTCATACAGCTCAACGCTGTGGTCATTTTCTGTAGTTGTGCCAGGTCCACTGAAGAATAGAAAACAAGATATAAACGTTTCAATCTGTGGTATTTAGATTATAGACATAAGCCTATAGAAAATAAAGTGATAAAGTTGGTTTCTACTTACCCTTCTGTTGGATTGGACCAGAATCTTAAAAGAGATGGTTGTCTGGTTTTCTTGTTTGGCCTTAAATCTTCCAGGTCTCCTCGTGCTCGCAATGACGGCATTGTAGTATGGCAAGCCGATTGGGCCAATAATCGTCCGACCAATAACGCGCAGTTCCAACCCGTATTTTACGCGAGCGCGCGTTTTTTACGTTACCGCACGTTCTGGCTGAAAACGCGCAGTGACGTAAAAAACGCGCACTCGCGTAAAATACGGGTTGGAACTGCGCGTTACTGTACGGACGATTGTTGGCCCAATCGGCTTGCCATATCCCAAAGAGGGGTGCGCGCGCCCCCCGCGCCCCCGCCTGAATCCGCGCCTGATAATTAACTTAAAATGCATACATCTGCCGGCAAAATATGTTCGCTTTTATTATTCTGGTGCCTGCAGATCGGATTATTTAGATGAACACCTACCAGCTGCCGCACCGCGAGGAGGCGACCGGGCCAGAGGCTGCTGTTGAAGGGATTCCTACTGTCGGCGCACCGCTGGTATGTGGGGGTCTGAGCGGCTCCGACAGAAATAACATTGGAAGGCAGGATTGTAATCTGGATGAACTGACTGCACTGATGAAGTTTTCAGGTGTATTTTCTCACTTAAAAACATATTAAAACTACTTTATTCCCACTGATCACAGCAAATATAGCTGCAAGGCAGAGAAAGGATAGAGTAGCTCCGCCCAACACGTGTCAGAGCCACTTTTGCACCGCCCAGCCAGAGCAGCAAAGCTGCTTCAGCCGCGCGTCAGAACTAACTGGTACAAGCAGCAAAAATGAAACAGCAGACGCGATTTTGCTGCTTTTGCTGCGTCCGGTCTGAACGTAGCATTAAACGTGCCTGAAGCACTGCTTCAGCTGCTCAGAGGCGCTGCGCCTGCTGCTCAAAATGCGCTGCGGGACCTTTTGTTGCGCCTTGAGGCGCGTCAACCATTGACTTTGCATGTAAACTCGCTGCTTCTGCCGCGCCTGCTGCGTCCGGTGTGAACGCAGCAGTGTACATTGGTTATTGCCTTGGCCACCCTTGTAAGACAGCAAAGTTGTGAACTCTGAACTCAACTGTACAAGACCAAGACTTCGGTATCGCGTGAATTGGTTTCTATCTATTATTTGGAGTGTTTCCTCAGAAACTATAACCTCTGGCTCCGTTCCCTGTCATTTTGCATTGAGCGGATCCAGGAACCGCCTCCGTTGCGCCCGCCCCGTCCAGACTCCCCTCTTCTCCGTCTCTCTCTCGCTCACACACGCGCAGCCTGTCCGGGTAGGATGGGAGCAGAGCAGTAGCCACATATCCGCGCGCGCCTGACCGCTAACACTACTTCCTGGACCCAAAAAGAATGGGACATTTACAGCAACACCTTTCCTCTCCAACCTCCGTCTCGCCGACGCCGCGGATAATCACTTCATAATGCTTTTGCATGATCAATAATATCCGACCACTTTTTTTCCTCTGTAATTAACGACAGCGATTGATTGCCGATTGACTCCCCCCCCCCCCCCCCCCCCTTTTTTTTCTCCCTACACCTCGGGAATGTCGCTATGTGGAAGCCCGCTGCAGACACTCCAACAACCACCGATTCTGAATTGTTTTCGCCTCTTGCCTGCTCGCCTCTTTATTCCTCGAAGCTAATGAGAGCACCCCGCTCCGGAGGCGAGTAAATCTGGCTTATTTTTAATAAAAACACTGACTGTATCCTGTGACCGTCAAAGCGTTTCTGTACTTTGATGCTCTCTGCCTTCGTGGCCGCCGTGACAACTTCGGCTTTAGTGTGTGCGTGATTCTTTCTAAAGGACAAGAAGAGGAGAGGGGGTAAAAAAAGGACTAACTTAATCACCCGTTGCCTTTTCTTGTTGCTCTCGATGAGTATTCTAACATGCGGAAAATACGGGAACCGAGTCACTGGTGGATTTTAACCCTGCTGTTTTTAACCTTGCCCGAAAACAAAGACTGTCAGCCCGGTAAGTACTTGCAACAAGGCTTCTTTTCTAGCTCTTATTTATTTTGCTCCCTCTCACTGTCTCCTATCTTCAGGGATAACGTTTTCGGTCGGGTTGTTAATGGTTTCTGGGCCGAGCCGACATTAGAAGAACTGGATCAGCCTCCCGTCATTTGTGTGCATGTTATTGATTACGCAGCTGGCGCAAACTATCCCTGCGTCAACCTTCAAACGGCTGCATGCATCCGGCCATCCGGCGGCTCTTTGACCTTTTTGTTTTCTTCCCTTTCAGACTCACACCGGTTTATACAGTCCAAACGGTAAAATCCTCAAAGAAATAAGGGCTCTATTAAAATAGCTCCGACTTCAACACATTAACCCGTGAAATTAATCACATCACGTGAGCCGCATGTCTTTGTTAGTGACATGAGGTGGTCCAAGTTTTAATCCCGGGTTATGATAGTTGGGAACAGTTTAAATCGAGCATGTCATGTTTTCTGAGCTTGAGGGGACAGTAGTTATCTTTTGGATCCAATCTAGATTATTCAGTATATGAGGGGAGATTAATGACATATGTTTGGATAGTTCATTTATTGGTTAGTTTTTGGTGCCCTGCCCACTTGCATGCAAATTCCTACTGAGCAATAAGTAAATATTGGGATACCTCAATCATAGGTACAAATAATCCAAATTAAGCCCTGATTTAGGATTATTTTATCTTGGTTGCTCCAAAATTGGACTCAGCTTCCATTTGGATTAAACAGTCAAAAAGTCAGTGGTGGTTCTAGACCAAATGTTCCAGGGGGCCAAAGTGTTTTTATGGGGGCCCGGAAAAGCATGAAATAAAAAAAAGGGCAAAGGGTTCAAATATATTGAGATAGCTGCATGAAGTGAAATTTCTATTCAATTAGGTTTAATTGAAATTCTGTTTGTTATTAGGTCAATATGCATTCATAATTTAGGAATTTTACATATTTTTGACTTAATTTACGATAAAATTATAGTTTTCTATAAAATATGAATTAGAACTCAAGAAAAACTGATAATTTCAGCCGTAAAAATTAGTTTTTAATTTGTTTTGAAACAAAATTTAGCAAATGAAAACTGGGCTCCTGTCTCAATACCACTGAAGGTATCACATTATTGTTTTTAAATAGTTTGTAAAACAGACTTTGTGAAGAAAAGAAATTAAATAGATCCAAAAGGACCTATCAGTAACCATTTCTGTCCCAGCGCATATCATCATTAGAATTTCTTTGAGTATTATGTCTTCAGTAGAGGGGCCATAACAGGGGCCAAGACATGATCTACAGGGGCACTGGCCCCCGTTGGGCGTTGTCTAGATCCGCCCATGCAAAAAGTCTTTAGGAAATGGAAAAATTGACAGAAAGATTTAGAATTATGCAATAATTTCTTTATTTTTCTCAGTTGTGATAATGCTGCAATAATATTTATGTGGGTAAATATCCTTTGCATTTTAATTTGATTGCAAACAATGAGAGAATAATGGTAACATATTTTTAAAATGTTTTTATACTATATTCAGGGCAAAAAACAGCCTGAATTGTACTCTAAAATGTTGTTAAATATTCAACCTGTATAGAGAGCTGGTAAGATTTGTTTCTATGTCTTTACAATTTGTTTCTGGGGGGGGGGAAAAGTCAATTTTTTCTCAGGAATTGGAACAGCAATAAATGTCAGTAATGTTATCACAGTAATAATAAAAGTCTGACCAACCCAAGTGACCAGTTCTGGAGTAATTTGGACATGACAAGGTGTGATGACATTTACCTGAGTTGCTAAAAATGTAATTTGTAGTTTAGGTGTCGTGTGTTTAAAATCAGCTCATATAGCCCATCATAAGTCCAGGCGTTCTTGTGTGAAACAGGTCTGCTTTTAGAACATTATCATCCTAAATCAATAATATTCTGAATTTACCAGATTGTTTTTACATATTATATAGATTTCCTGATGCTAAATATAAACTGTCAGTGGCACACCTATAGAAACCATCAAATTCACAGTGGTTCATAACTTGTCTTTGCAAACTGGTGGAATAAGACTATAGAACATAAATAGGACTGTATAGCGTTACTGTATAGTAACACTGCACTGACCCTCCCCCACCTGTTGCACACTGTTGGTAAAGGTTATCTGTATCGTCAACAAAATTTGACCATGTTATTTATTGCTTTTGGCTTTTACTGAAGGTTATTATTTTATCTGATTTTCATACCTACATGAGCTACATGATAAACAAAAATAAATACCAGATGAAAGTAAAGTGTAATTTATTAATTAGATTACTTTTATGGTTCTAAAAGATCCATATGATCTACACTTTTAATTGACAGAAGAGAGTACAGCTGTAGCAATTATCATTATAAAAATGAATTTTAAAATAAAAATATGGAAAAATCTGGAATTTTAGGACTTGGCTTATTGATCACAATGAAAGAGTGCAGCTGAGAACTGGGAGGTCAGACTTGTTAAACGTCATGAATTGGGCCCCAAATAGTAATAAACTGGCGTCACATTGTTTACTTTATACATTAGTAATATTTGCAATGTATCATATTTCTTAAAAATGACTGTATTTGCTAATAAAACAGCTATTTGATATGGTGAATTATTTTGCCTGAATTTAAGCCCATATAAAAATAATCAATTATAGTATTGGGTACCTTAATAATCAATACGCAAAATATTCTATTAAAGAAAACACTGAAATTTAAGACAATGAGAGACTGTATTTGGAACATTGTTGACTTTAGAAAACACATGTATAATATGTCAATACAGAAATGTCAATCAATGGCTGCTGCCTAAAGTCATGAAACAATGTTAGCAAAGTTTATTTTGTGTTTGCATTTAAAGTTTAGGAATCCATGTGTTACATACTTAAGTGCAAATTCACAGAATTACATTGAAAGTCTCAAAGCTGATTTTTTTTAAGCAAAAAAGATTAAATAGAATTGTTAAAGAAGCAGAGCATCACAATCAATTTAAAGATAGATTGTGATACAGAAACAACGTCTGGGGTTTAAAACAAGCTGTTTCTACTGAAGGCAAAGTGCGGTGTGGTTTTTGAGGAATATCTTCATTAAAAGCAAAAAGTAGCAACAAAATTTTTAATGTGCAAATGTATTTCACTGAAATTGAAATACTGACAGTTTTCTGTCAACATTTGAATCATGATGGGAATATATAAGCTGCAAATATTAAACAGGATACAGTTATTGCCGTTAAACAGTGACACAGTGGATAAAATCTTTTTAGGATGTGATGATGATTAAGGGTAAGGAAGAAGTAGACCCATTTTCTGACACGTTGGGTCACTGTTTCTTATCCTTTTTTGCAATTTAATTAAAATTAGAGATGCAACCATGAATCAAAAAGCAAAATATTAGTTTTCTATGAGTGACCCTAGCCAACGACCCAACCTCATTAAATGAATAACACAATCTCAATTTTAATTTCAATCCGTACGCTCATCGGCAAGCAGCGGGTTCTTTGATGCACTTTGTTTTGAGCATTGCTAAAAAGATAAAGGGCGAGAGGCATAAATGAGGATAATCTTGTAATTCCTTAGCTTTTCTGGTCTGGAATTCAAAACTACTACCTCTATGAAAGGAGGCTGTTGTGTTTTTTTTTTCTTTATGGTCAGTTCTTCACAGATTTAATGAAGAAAAGTAAGATCATTTATTAAACAAGTGGATTTGCCTGTATTATACTCCCTGTGAGGGTGAGGATGTTCCTGATCACCTGATCTTACATACAGATAACTGGAAATTTGTGTCAGCGAGCCAATAAAACCTAATCGATTAATTTTTGATTGAATTTGTGTAATGGTTTCTAAGAAATCCTGAAGCCCTTATCATTCTAGGGTTGTCAAAAATTCACCAAAATAATTTGTCGTCAAACACTGCTTCTGGATTAGGGCTGGGCAATAAATGGTATTTGTAATTATATTACAAATGCCATTAACTGTGTTAATATAAATACAAATTAACAATGCATAATTCAATATACATATTAACATAATACTCGGATGCATCTGCATGCTAGCTGTAACTCTCCTCACTTCTATGTAGCGACAAACCTACTTTGAGTGATTTACTGTTTTGGGCTTGAGTGAGAAAGTCAATGTCTTACTATTATTAAATGCAATGAGATTAAAATGGAGTGGCTTCTGCAATTTGAAGACTGCATTTTAAAATTTGAGATTACATTGGAAAGGCTATTAATTGTTGAGCCCTAGTTCGTGTTAGATCTCTACATTATTTCCACATTAAAAGAATGTATCATTCTTTTAATGATATTTGTTTGACATACACTATATTGCCAAAAGTATTTGCTCACCTGCCTTGACTCACATATGAGCTTAAGTGACATCCCGTTCCTAATCCATAGGGTTCAATATGACGTCGGTCCACCCTTTGCAGCTAGAACAGCTTCAACTCTTCTGGGAAGGCTGTCCACAAGGTTTAGGAGTGTGTTTATGGGAATTTTTGACCATTCTTCCAGAAGCGCATTTGTGAGGTCGCACACTGATGTTGGACGAGAAGGCCTGGCTCTCAGTCTCCGCTCTAATTCATCCCAAAGGTGTTCTATCGGGTTGAGGTCAGGACTCTGTGCAGGCCAGTCAAGTTCATCCACACCAGACTCTGTCATCCATGTCTTTATGGACCTTGCTTTGTGCACTGGTGCACAGTCATGTTGGAAGAGGAAGGGGCCAGCTCCAAACTGTTCCCACAAAGTTGGGAGCATGGAATTGTCCAAAATGTCTTGGTATGCTGAAGCATTCAGAGTTCCTTTCACTGGAACTAAGGGGCCAAGCCCAGCTCCTGAAAAACAACCTCACACCATAATCCCCCCTCCACCAAACTTTACACTTGGCACAATGCAGTCAGACAAGTACCGTTCTCCTGGCAACCGCCAAACCCAGACCCGTCCATCAGATTGCCAGATGGAGAAGCGCGATTCGTCACTCCAGAGAACGCGTCTCCACTGCTCTAGAGT